CGTAAGTGAATTATGAATAGAAATTCAACTACCGCCCGAGTTCTTGAGCTGATCCAACTAGTTACTTGATTCTATCTGGGTGCGTTTTGGATACTCTCTGCAGCTGTACGCAGATTATGTGAATGAGCAAACGGTTTTGTATTGCCCGCCGTATCTTATCCATACTTGTTTTGCACTCGAAACCCATGTAGTGTCCAAATAATTCAACAATGTAGTCGTTTAGTACGTCTTGGTCTCTGTCTCTCCGTCTTCCCAATCAATGTTGTTCGACCTAAGCTGTTCCCGTTTTCCATTGTAATGTCTTTCTGTTCCTACTCAAGATGCTCATAGGTCAATTTCGACTGATGAAGCTGCTTGTTGCGTCCTAAAAGATTTCCTTAAAATTATTATAGCAATAATAAGGATCAACCGTGCACTCATTCTATAAACACATAGAGGCAAAGTTGCTGAGTAAGTTCCAAGAATGTGTTTTTGTGATAGTCATCAGGTGGAATAACATCACTTTGTTGATACGAATTATGTATATGCATACATACACGCTTAACCCTGTCAAGGCGACCACCTGTCCTGCATGACCTCTACAGTTCGGAACAAGAGTACATAACCCCATACTCTTGCTAGGTACAAAGGATGCTGGCTACAGTCAAATGACCCTGGATATTGCGACCACCTGTACACTGTGGCCACATCTGTTAGGTTCCTCGACCTGTCGGAATAGACAGGCTTCACTGCAGGTGTAAACTGTAGGGTACGGGATGGCAAAGAGGCATCTCTTGTTCATCTAGTACTAGTGAGTAGTGGGTGATACACAGTGACACCTTCCCCTGATCAACCATACTATATAACCTAGCATGGTAATCGAGTGTGACTAAAGCATTCAATCATTGCACCTGCTAACCTTTGCAAACCTGTGATCAGGACAATGACATACTTACATGTAGGTATGAAAATGTATAGCAATGTATGTCTGAGGCATGAGGCATGCGACAGATGCACTTTTAAGTGTCCCAGCCTCGAGATCGGGACGGTCCCTACCAAATCGAGAAGATTGGCAGGCTAAAGTAACATCATTCGCCACATTGTACTGAACTGGGTGTGAAACTGCTTTTGCGTGGGTTTGGATGCCAGGCCACCGCGCCTTAGAAAGAGGATTAGTTGCACGATTTCAACAAGCCATCATTATGATGTATACGTTTATGGGCTTGACAAAACCAAAAGTTGTCTTTGTCAGGGAAAGGGCACATCGGCAGGGTCCGGCGGATTCTTCCGGCAGAACAATTGGCAGAATTCGGTACTTTTTCTGATAAGTTTCATGCATGTTTGGTATGTGGATAAAAAAATGGAGCAGAATTCGAGGAATAGCCCGCCATAAGGTTTGTATGGTTCTGCCGATTTCACTGCTTTTAGAGTAGAATCGGCCGTCACTACACATCGGGCTAGTTGTGTGCCATGGCCAATCAGGATTTGGAAGGCAGTGTTGAAACATGTACTCGTGCATGTACAGTATCGGGTGAGAAATATTTCTCTTTGGATAAGGTGAAGTCCTGACTGAAGCACTCTGATAATGTTACCGCTGGCGAGTATTACATGCAGCGTCAAAGTACACTGGTGCCTTCAGAATCTGAAAAGGCGGCGAGGTGACAAAAAGGATTGCAATACACAGAACCAGCTAAAGCGTCATTTCACGAAGTTTCCATCACACATGTAGTTCTTGTTCCATTACCACTTTCTCTAGAAATTGTTCTTCACATCTCAATGAAACCTTCGTAAAATGACGCTTCAGCTGGTTCTGTTTAGTACAATCCTGACATTTATAATCTGGCACCAATAGTGCTACGAAAACCACGCTGGGTTAGGGAGGGTGCTGGATTAACAAAATTTGATCTGATGTACTGCTGCAATGAGCTTTGCACTTTGGGTCGGATTTCGCCGAGCGCAACAGTAGTTCCAAAGGCATAGGGCAAAGCGTTGCCTGCCATCGCCGACCATAGACAGGCCTCACAAAGTACAGTACGACGCCAATCAACTCACAAGATCTTTTGTCAGGAGTCAGGACTCACGCCCCTGCACTGAGTGTTTTGTCACTGACAGTGTGACAGTCATACTCATACTCATAGATCATCACAACGCCGTCGTGTGTATAACTCTGATCTGGTGCACAGCGGACAGTACCGTAGATGTGAGGCGAAAACTGAGGGTGTTGGTAGTTCGCACACAATAATGCCTCGAAGTCGCCTGGAGGTCCTTAGCTTACGGCCTCTAGCTCTTATTCATTTTGAAGATGTGCGACCGGAGACTACATAGAGCATTCGCCGAAGCCGTTCACTTGTTTCTTTGAGGGCAGTGAGCAGTGTATACTGTTTCAGTTCGACTTGCTACAATGCTTCGTTGGCTGTGCAAACTCAAGGCATTTCCTGCCGGCCAGCGGTATTTACCAGTTCTTGTCGGACTAGGCCAATTCCTGTTCAAGGTGAGCACGAGACGATTGATAATCTCATTTTTTGTCGAAAACTTCATCTCCTAGTACTGTGAGTCAACAAAATATTCGGCGGAAATTTTATTTTCGGCTATTTTCGGCCTGGTTTGAAAATTTGTTGCGGCCGGTATTTTTGGAAAGGTTCAGCTTTGACAGTGCAGCAGTACAGGCCGAAATTGTAATGCGGCCGAAACGTGTTTTAGCCCTGAGAGGCCGAAGTTTATACTGCCCGAATATTTGTCGACTTACTGTTACAAATAATCTACGTGGAGACGAGAGAGCTTGGAAGCTCAGGGCCCTACGCTATGCTTTTTTGCCTAGCTCATCGTACATGTTATAAGAACTGATGGAAATTTTTTTTTCCGTTGATTGGCCACATGATTGTATTGCAAAAACATGCATGATGAGCAAGCAAAAAAGCATAGCGTAGGGCGCGAAAATTAGTTGATTTTAATACAGTAATCGGATTTTCTGGCCTTTTTGTAGTAATACATGTACATTGACCTGTTGAGCCAATGACGACACCGAATGCATGGTTGCCTGTGGAGCACATTACATAACTTAGCAGTCTCCTAAAATACGTATCCTGCCCGACGGCAAAAGAGTCTGCAGATTTAGTTTTTCTGCGCGTCGACTGGATGTCTGCGACGCGAAAGTTCAGCTCGCGTTATTTGGCTCGCACGTCGAAAAATCAACGCGAGTGACCTGCTGCTTACGTGGAAATTTGGACATTACATAACTTTACAGTCTCCTATAACACGTATCCTGTCCGACGGCAAAAGAGGCTGCAGATTTAGTTTTTCTGCGCGTCGACGGGATGTCTGTCCTGACGTTCACTGGGACCGGCGCTGACTCTGCCGATCACGGGCGTTCTGGACTCGACGGGATGTCTGTCCTGACGTTTCCTGGGACCGGCTTAGACTCTGCCGATCACGGGCGTTCTGGACTCAACGGGGTGTCTGTCCTGACGTTGCCTGGGACCGGCGGACTCTGCCGATCACGGGGGTTCTGGAGTCGACGGGATCTCTCTTCCGACGTTTCCTGTGACCGGCGCTAAATCGCTCGTTCACGCTTATTTTGGAGCCGACGGGATCTCTCTTCCAAGGTACATGTATGTTAATGCGGGCGCATCCTATCACCTATTCGGCGTCTATTCTAATTTAATTTCCTCCTCGTCTCCCTATTTCTTTCAAAATCTCACTCCATATCAGGGAGTCGTATACATAATACGACGAATATTGGTACGGTACGGGACAGATACAGGAGCCCGCAAATATTGTGGACAGCTGTTATGTACAATCCTGTAGAGCCTTTGTAGTCACAGATACGGGACAGATATGGGACAGATACGGGATGGCTCCAGCCGTGACACAAACAAACAAACAAACAAACAAACACACAAACACCAAACGAGAGAGCTTGGAAGCTCAGGGCCCTACGCTATGCTTTGTTACTTAGCTCATCGTGCATGTTGTGGGAACTGATGGAAATGTTTCCTGGAACGGCGCTGACTCTGCCGAGCACGCGCGTTCTGGAGTCGACGGGATCTCTCTGCCGACGTTTCCTGTGACCGGCGCTGACTCGCCCGTTCACGCCTATTTTGGAGACGACGGGATGTCTTTTCCAAAGTATGTTTTTACTGACGCATCCTATCACCTATTCGGCAACTAACATCCATTCTAATTTCATTTCCTCCTCGTCTCCCTATTTCTTTCCAGAAAGTCTCTGTAAGTCTCTATACATCAGGGAGTCGTACTGTATTGGCAGCTACCCTAACGGGTCACGCCGCCCACCACCCAAGCATGGGTATGATGAGGGACAGTGGCAACAGAAACAAAAAAACAGCAAGCAGGGAGAGAAAGCAAGAGAAAGACGGCGATAGTAGTACATCTGGTGTGCGACGTATAGAAAAGAGAGATGACAAGAGATGCGCACAAAATAGGAAACAATTATTTTTGCAGTTCCGAAACAATCAACCAGGTGATGGAGTGTGGGCACCCGAAGTCCCACCTGGACTCCACTGGAAGAACATCCCACGCAGGGATATCAGCGATAGGCCAAGCGTTGAAAAACAGCCATGAGGACACATCGTCTAGAAGTGCACCGCGCTCGAACTGAAATTGCAGGTTCAAACAATTTCCCACGCGGCGTCAGGCAGCGTAACTCTTCTCCCTGCATCACCATCCATCTCCAGCAACCGTCTCCACTCACAGCTCATGCAGGGGCGGATACAGGGGGGGTTCAGGGGGTTCGGACGAACCCCCTAAAATAATTTCGACCATGGGTCTAGTCGATTTTTTTGTGATCTCCAAGTGCGCAGCCAGCGAAGTGTAGCGTGCATGTAGCGTAGCCAGTACTGCAGACTGCAGTAGACTTCACTGACACTGGCAATCCTGCATGCAGTAGTCAAGTACAGGCAGTGCAGGTACTGTACATTGTAGGTCACTGTATGCATGCAGTGGTCGGGACTGTTGTACGCGTACCGTTCGAATCGAAGGGTCTGTACGCGTATCATGTGACTTGAAACGATCGACAGTTCAAGTGGTGGAGCAAAACTAAAAGGAGGAAAAACTGCCACTTGTCCTCCTTCTTTGTCGTTTTGTTTTATTTCGCGCTGGCTGGACTGTAGGTTTCCTCCGTCGCAGTACGAAGATAATGTTTGTGTTTTTGTCGTGTAGTTTGCCATGTCGCGGTGGAGCAAAAGGTGGAGAAACTGCCACTTGTCCTCCTTACCTTCCTTGTCGTTTTGTTTTATTTCGCGCTGGCTGGACTGTAGGTTTCCTCCGTCGCAGTACGAAGATAATGTTTGTGTTTTTGTCGTGTAGTTTGCCATGTCGCGGTGGAGCAAAAGGTGGAGAAACTGCCACGTGTCCTCCTTACCTTCCTTGTCGTTTTGTTTTATTTCGCGCTGGCTGGACTGTAGGTTTCCTCCGTCGCAGTACGAAGATAATGTTTGTGTTTTTGTCGTGTAGTTTGCCATGTCGCGGTGGAGCAAAAGGTGGAGAAACTGCCACTTGTCCTCCTTACCTTCCTTGTCGTTTTGTTTTATTTCGCGCTGGCTGGACTGTAGGTTTCCTCCGTCGCAGTACGAAGATAATGTTTGTGTTTGTCGTGTAGTTTGCCATGTCGCGACGTCTGCCAAAGAGGCGAGCGGCCGATCAGTTGCCATTGAGCTTGGCTTCGTTCCGCCATGTACGGCGCGAATGTGACGACACGGAGTCCCAGCCGGAGAACAGTCAGAGAACTTCGCCTTCCGTCAGTTCGGAAAATGCTGCAGTCACGGCCTTAGTTTCTGCCTGTGCTGCAGCTTTGTACTTTGTAAGGCTCTAAACGCATTACCCTTGTCTTATTGGCCAAGCAATGCAAGGGCTACCGTGACAATAAAGATTTTGCAACTCCCGGTGTAGTGAACGAACCGAAAACAGTTTGAAGCGAATTTAATTCTGTGCACTCGAAAAAATTTGAACCCCCCCTGAAAAATTCCTGGATCCGCCCCTGTCATGCCTCTGCCACCACTGTACTCCTCCGAGCTTCGCAGTTTGAAACCATTCGGGGGTCAGCTACACCACCGCCAATGGAGAGACGAGGACGACAACGGTCGTGACTGAAAAGACACTGCGGCTTGGCGACCGCGTCGCGGAACCCTCGCTCCAGCAAATTCCGAAATACGCCAGGGGCAACTCTGGTGGACCCAGAGCCACCCCCTTGGCAAGACTAGTAAGAGGAACGACTGAAAACTCAGATTAAACGGAGCTACGAAAAGTGCAACCGTCCCCTTCAAGCACAGTTGCAACACACAGGGAGTCGTATACATGTACATGTACATAATATTGTGGCCAGCTGTTTGTAGCCAGCTGTGTTTGATGGTACGGTATGGTACGGGACAGATACGGGAGCCAGCAAATGGCCAGCTGTGCGATACGGTACGGGACAGATACGGGATAGCGCCAGGCGTGACACAAACAAACAAACAAACAAACAAACAAACACCAAATTAAAGCTGTGTGGACCCTGGCTAGCGCCAGACGTTACTGAAGTAACGTCTTCTGCATAGCTACGGGAATTAAAGCTGTGTGGACCCTGGCTAGCGCCAGACGTTACTGAAGTAACATCTTCTGCATAGCTACGGGAATAAAAGTTTAATAATAGCTATGAAAAGTATGAATGCCGCAGCCATCACCACGCAACATGACAATTATCTTTATTGAAGGTTTAAGATTTGTTTTTCCCTTGATCACTTTAGTTCCGTATTTCCACTGATGATCGGAGCTTGAAAATCGATTCTGGAAACACACAACCTTTTAAACCTTGAACAAATTGTCATGTTGCGTGGTGATGTCTGCGGCATTCATACTTTTCATACTCGAAGTAGCTATTAGCACACTTACAGTTACAGTTTCTATTAAATTCTAGCAATAAAAAAGGACACACTGCGTGACTGGGCACAGATATTCAATACACACATCAAGACAAAACAAAATCACATCAAGGCAATTCAAATTCTTGCCTTGTTGTGTTTTAAGAGGCTATGAGTGCGCAGTTTAGGCGGCGTTCCAATTTTTCTCATCTTTCGAGAAACATCTTATTCTTAGAAAACACTAGTTGAAGTGTCCCAATAGAACGGTTGCTGTCAGCCTTGCTGTTTCCGCTGAAATTGCCATAGCAATGAGAATTTACAAGTGTGCACACATACATACTGACGCACATGCGCACACACGCACACACGCGCGTGTACACACACGCTTATGCACTGACATACACACACAATTACTACTGTGATCTCTAACCTGCAGGCCAGTGCTTGTGCGGCGGAAACAGACGAGACTGCTTTATCATTGCAACAAGAGCAAAGCGACCGCAACGTGCTTGCTGTGGTTGGCGTGACCGTTGTGATCAACTTCATCCTGGCGATCCTGTGCTGCGAGCTACGGGGAAGGTACTTGGGACATTGGCCGTCTCTCCTGATCGTTGGGGTTGGCAGTGCTGCAGCATCGTGCTTCAGCCATGACGTGCCTACATTGCAGGTGTACTATTTCCTTCTGAATTGTTTGATCTTTGCAGTGTGGGTGTACACTGACGCTTACAATAACATTGACGTGTATATTAATTACCAATAGAAATTCCATTGCCGCGTGAGTTCTTGAGTTGATCCAACTTGATTCTAGCAAGTTGCGTTTGGACCATCTCTGCAACTGTATGAAGATTATGTGAACCAGCAAACGGTTTTAGATTGCCCGCCGTATCTTGTCTCTACTCGTGTTGCACTCGAAACCCATGTGCTGTCCAAATAATTCCACATGCTGAGACTGAGATTTTTATGTACAGTGTTGCTCAATAAAATCTAGTCGCGTCACTCAAGTTTGCGCCTTGCATCATCTCGCAACCCAGTGTTCGCAGGTTTACGGCTGTGCAACGCCCGGCGCATAATTGAGTCACGTGACTGGTTTTCATTGAGCAGTACAGTGTAGCCGAGACTTCTGCGGAAGTACGATGGTGGACTTCTGGTGTGCTACGGAAATTCTGCTGGGTCAGGGAGGTGCTGAATTAGCAAATCTGATTTACCGCTGCCATGATTGTGAAGAGGAAATATTTAGTTGCTGAAAACTATGCTGGTATATATATACTGGGTGATTGTTTATAAAGTGCTGAATTAAGGGGGCACATCACCCAAAAATTCGCTGAAAAATCGAATTTGTAAATTCATATTGAGTGCTACGTCAGTTGAAAGAGCATGAATAGCTGCAAATTCTCTGAAAACTGTGTCCCTATCTGACCAGCCGTTCAAGAGTTAGGGCCGAAAATGTGCCCTTGCAAGGAAAGATTTTTTTGTTGCATGCTGTCATTTGTTGGCAGCACTGTATTTGAATGTGAGCAGACCGTGCGCAACTTGTCGTATTATGGAAACACGCGAAAGTGTGCAGAATTTTGCCCCAAGTCCAAAAAAGTCCAAAAAATCACGTTAAAAAACCACGTATTGGGCTGCACGGCGGCGGGCGAAGCCCGCCGCCGTGCAGCAGGACTTTTGCCAGCACCCTCGTGACGTTGCAGATATGTGGCTTGATTATTGTAGTTGACGTTGATTTAGTGACTTTGGCAAGTTTGAGTCGTGTCAAGAAGTCAGGTAGGATTCAGTACTAGGCAGTAGTGAAACGTGAGTGGCAGTCTTTGCCGGTTTCTGAGGGCATCCTGGATTTGGTTTGCAGCGCTGTGGAAATGGCTTGCTGTGGAGGTCCCAGCACTGGATGTTGTATCAAAGGTACGACCTCGTAGCACGTGCCAAACCTAAAAAAATTCAAAAATTGCCTTGGGTCTGTGGGAGTCCGTGAAAGAACGCCCACTCGTTCCGTTGTGACAGATTCCAGGGCCACGTTGAGGGGCCCTACCCCACCACCCATGGCTGCTTCTGGACTTGTTTTAGGTTTGGGTCCCGCGCACGGACAGAATGGGCACGAAAATGTGAAAAAAATGTAAATGCATTTGTTTGGCTCCTGGGTGACTCGCACACCGTAGCACTATGCCGGAAATTTGAGTTTTTCCGGCCTGGAAAGCCTGTCAGTGAGACGCAAGAACTTGTAAATCATGTCCTGAGGGCCAGCATAGTGGCAGGAGTGTGTGGTCAAAATTTCACTCAAATCCACTGAGAAACACCAAAGTTACGGTCAATTGAATGCCATATGAAATTTTTGGGTGATGTGCCCCCTTAAAGAGGGTTGTCATGGCAAGTTAGGAGCTGCATCTTCGCCTTGATCCTAGAGGGCGGTGGCGTTCCTGCGGATGATGCTGAAATCTCGGCCTCCAACCGAGTCTCACGCGAATTGCGAATTAATCATTTTTCATACAAAAAATGACATACATGTATTTCAAAGGCTCGGACCAGATTTTGTGACGCCGATGCTCTCTGGTTCACAATGTTCTCTCCCTCTCTTATTGCCGTAATGAAGTAGCGTGCTCCACTGTCCGAAGAGTAGAGAGAGAGAGAGAGAGAGAGAGAGAGAGAGAGAGAGAGAGAGAGAGAGAGAGAGAGAGAGAGAGAGAGAGAGAGAGAGAGAGAGTGTGTGTGAGTGAGTGAGTGAGTGAGAGAGAGTGAGTGAGTGAGTGAGTGAGTGAGTGAGTGCGTGAGTGAGTGAGTGAGTGAGTGAGTGAGTGAGTGAGTGAGTGAGTGAGAGAGAGAGAGAGAGAGAGAGAGAGAGAGTAAGTTACATTACAAAGACAGGTAAGTCTAACAAATGAGGACTGAGACCTCTACAACAGGGTTTTTACGCCTGAAAGCAGGTGCATGATTTAACAAGCAGGTTGTCAGTCTAGATTTTATGCGCAGATGGAGAAAAAAATGCGCAGAATTTTTGTAATGAGATGAAAAGCAGAAATAATAAGAAAAGATGAAATGAAAGCCTGCTCACAACCCCGCCCAGCCTTGCGAACTGGGTATGGTGGATTAAGAACCCGGTTCAATGCTCGAGCAAGCGCTCTCCACTCAAGGTGTTCACAGCAACTGATAGGAACTCATAATTATGGGGAAATTATAGAAAAGAAATAATAAGATAAAGAGAATAAAATTCAACGCACCTCAATAAACGGAGCCCACATACAGTACCTCAGAAAAGTGGATCTTCCGACCAGTGTTTTTGTTGACGTCGCAACCAGACGATGTAGCTGCTTCGAGAGAGAGAGAGAGTGAGAGAGAGAGAGAGAGAGAGAGAGAGAGAGAGAGAGAGAGAGAGAGAGAGGAGAGAGAGAGAGAGAGAGAGAGAGAGAGAGAGAGAGAGGGAGAGAGAGAGAGAGGGAGAGAGAGAGAGAGAGAGAGAGAGAGAGAGAGCGAGAGAGAAAGAGAGAGGGGGGGAGGCTGTGTTGCACCTCCGAGTTTCACGTAGTCACGATCATCAGGCAACTATGATAGTAGTTTTATTACAGTAAAACCTGTCAAGGCGACCAACTGTCCTGAAAGACCACTAAAACCAGGACCAAGGGTTGCCATTTCCAGTCCTATGACCGTGGATAAGGAGACCACCTGGTAACAGAGACCACGTTTTGAAGGTCCCTTCAGCGGTCGTCTCAGACAGGGTTCACTGCATCATCTCTCTGGTAGTCTTCTCCCTAGCACGTATCTCTGAATATTGCCAGTCATCCTGGCGTGCCACGCGACATTGAGATATTTACAAACACGAATGCAATCCAAGCTGCTATTTCGGCCGATGAGCCCTGACCAGTGCGACTACCAACTGCAACAGAAGGCACTGTAAGACATGGCGACAATAGCGCTGAGCATAGTTAGTGTAGTTACGTGTATGTTGTTTTGATACTGAAGTAAGTCTGTTTGTCACAACTCCATGAGCGACTCTGACTCACGCAGCTACCTGGGGCTTCACGCGGTTTTTGTCCCGCTGAAAACGAAGCGTCTCTGTCAGTTTGTATCCCTGATGATGGCTTGGCCTGGATAGCACTATAAGTGGTGCTTTTCAGGCACAATCTTCCTTAGCCTACTCAAGCTCAATTGATGATCGGTGCACCCGAAACCCCCTGTGTATTGAGCAGGGAGTGGTGCTTTCTTGCAAGTTTGCCGAGTGAAAGGTGCGACTTGCTCCTCGTGTGCTCCCGATGGCAGTCGTGAGTCAGTCAAGCGGCAAGTTCGGCAGGAAGCGAGCGCGCCTCCCTGGAACAACCAACTTTATACTGAAGTACACGGTGTTAAGATTGCGTATAGCCGATTGGTTAGTAGGCTTGCCTGCGAATCATGATTTTCCGAATTCAAAACCTGCGCTGGCAACAGGGAGTGTGTTTAGTGCTCTCTCGCGGTGATGCAGGCGAGTACCACTTTACATGCAATGAACTGTGCCTACACCCACGGTGAACTGGGTACTCACTTGCTCGGTGTGAGGGTAACAAGGATGCGGTTTACGGGGCTATAGGGCTAGGCACTGGGCAAATATGCTCGAAAAATCACCCCTCATGCTTTCTCGCAATTCGAAAATGCCTGAAACCATACCGATAATTCCCAGAAATTCTCACAAATTTTCGCTTGAAATCCAGGTCTCTCTTCGCATCCAACAGAAAAAGATGCATTCTTAAACCTAAAGGAAACAAAAAAATCAAAACTCAGAGTATACTACATAATTACAGAGTAGCAGAATAGATAATAGAGCACATACAGTGTATTGGTGTATTGGTATATTCAATGTCATTCAGAACTCAAGAGTCAGAACAACACACTACAATACATGTGCAACGTTGCTACAATATTGCTTTTTTCCGCCGATTATGCCCGCGAAATCATCGATTATGCTCGTGTGATTTTTGCACCCTAAAATGCTCGATTTAGTGCCGGCATATTTGCCGGGTCCCTATATAAGGCCTTTACAGTAACACGCCCGCTTGATGAGAGACTTATCCCCTCTCCCCTGACTCACTGGTGAGGTCTGCATTCGACACTAAGGATATAATTGTGGGCGAAGTGGTGGCCCGCCGATGCGAATGTATTTGCTTGATGTGTTCCTCAACACGTCGCCAGGTGATGCGGCCGCCAATCCGGCTAACTTTACACGGTGTACGTGTGTGTGTTGCTCCCTACATGGAAGCTCTCAGTTTTCCTGCCAACTTGAATTCTCACTTGACTGACTCACGACTGCCACACTTCCCCCAATTATCGCCTTATTTCGCACCAACTTACTCTTCTCATCGTGGCACACGGTGTAGGTGTTGTAATTGTAGGGTGGCGGTTTCTCCCCGTGCGTGCACTGGAGCTCATGCATTTCCGCCGACTGGACTTGACACTATTTCGTAGTTGTTGTAGTTGTACAGTAGTTCGTAGTTGTTGTACACAAAACATTAATAGTTTTGGTCTCTGTTGTTCTGTATTGTGTAGTTGACTAGTTGTTGGACATGTACATGTACATGTACGTGTATTTATTAACACTTTACTAGGGAAATCACCATAGACTCAAAGTCGTTTACAGGGTAACCAAGGTACGTGTAAGTGAGTGAAATACAGTTTCATAATAAATAATAATTATGATGAAAACAGAGGCTACTATAATTATACTACGCCATTATGTACTAGTATTGCAGCAAATGTACATGTAGTTGCTGTGATTCCGAAGTGTTGCTATGGTTCCTTAGGGTTAGGGTCACAGCGCTTTCGCAGCAATACTGCCAGTGCAAAGTAGACCACGTGGCCGACTGCGTGCGCAATCTGATATTCCAACTCTGGTTTGATTTCAGTATGCCAGTGAATAGCTCCATGCCCAGCCACCCAAATGAGAATTGGAAGTAGTAAGCACCAACTGCGTATCGCCAGAATATTGCAGCAGGAAAACGACAGCGCGAATAGAAAATTGAACAAATGGCTACCGCCAATGCCGTAATAAAAGATGGTGTTCTTCTGTTGAATCCACTCCCTCTCCTCGGCACTTTCCAACTCTAATGCAGCCGCTGAGCAGGCGCTGATCTGTAACAAAGGAAAACAGCAAGTAGGATGGTCTCTATGTATTGAAATATGTACATGTACCGCGGTAAAAAGAATTAGTTGTACCGATATGTCAACACACACACACCACAAGGCTGGTTGAAGTGGCTTTTCCTGGCCAGTGAATCTCAATTTTTCATTTTTCATTTTTCCCACACATACAGACACACACTGTACTGTACTGTACTTGTTGCTCACTGCCAAAACTAGTCAAGTGAGTCTCCCCGGGAGAGGGGAGAGAGACTCAAAAGAAATCTGGGAAAGATGACTCAATTGGTTATTGAAACGCCCAACGGCCGACACCCCTGAAATCCCCAACACTCTGGGTGGACTTGAAAATGATCCCACGTATGGGCTCACCACACCTCAGTGAGTGGGTGAGGACAAGGTGCAGAAAAAGGATTGCCGGCATCAGGGTATCCGTCCCGGGATCCAACTGCAGTTACCCCTGCCCCCAGTGAAGGTAATACTTGCTACTAGTGTGAGTGGCTAAATCAGAGTGGATCTGATATAAGCGTCACTAGCACCATTGATTACACAAGAGCTAATCTAGCCAGAAGCAGTCCATGGTTAACAGGTACAGTGAAACCTCGTTAAGAAGAACACGGATAAGACCAAATTTCGCTTTATAAGAACTAGTGTTCATAGATCTATTGGATAAATCACTGGGTATTCACTGGGTATAAAATAATGGATAAGAAAAAAATTCACGGTTCGCGTGAGACTCGGCTGGAAGCCGGGCTTTCTGCATCCGTAGGAACCCCACCACCCTTCGAGGATCTAGGCGCAGATGCAGCTCCTAAATCGGTGGGAGGTGAGTAGATCAGCTCACCAGCAAGTGGTCAAAGACCGAAAATCCCATCACTGCATCCATGTTTTTCTCGTGCCAGGCCACGAGTTCCCAATTAACTGTGGGTCGCAGCAGGGCTGGAAAAAATCCTTCCGCTTCCAAGCAGGACTTGAACCTGGTACCCTCTGTTTCTCAATCATGGTCTTAGACCATCCCACTATGCCTGCCTAAGAAGAACTCCCGTTATTGCGAACAAAATAATATCACCGGTCCCTTAGTGTTCGTCCTGATGAGGTTTGACTCTGTATGAACCCTCGAACCAACAAAGGTGACAGGTACAACATTACACCTTTAAGCAGCCTAGCCTGTGGGCAGCAGACCCAACACAATCAGGCATAAGTGTACCTACCAACCGAACCAGCTGGCACACATACACATTTGTACTTGTACTTGCTCACTGCCAAAACTGGTCACGTGGGTCTCCCGGGAGAGGGGAGAGAGACTCAAAAGGAATCTTGGAAAGATGACTCAATTGGCCATTGAACCACCCAACGGCCGACACCCCTGAAATCCCCAAACTAGGGTGGACTTGAAATGATCCCACTTATGGGCTCACCACAAACACACACACACACACACACACACGCGCACACACACACACACACACAGTGCATCGTCGCATTACTTAGATTGTTGTCTCCTCGCAGCCTTTTCTCCATCCTTCATTCATTTATTTACATGTACTACATTTCCATAACCGACGAGGAGACAACAGTCGTAAAATAGCAATGAAAAATATCAATTGTGCACTCATAACCATGTATAAACAATTCAAATGAAACAATTCCAGAACATTTTCGTGTGACCATCATCAGTGGAACATCGTCACATAGTAAGAATCATTAAAACAACCAGTTATATAGCTTTTGTTGTCAAAAGCGGCCAGTGCAGGCAGGCTAAAGCGTGGGAGGCCACGAAAACACCCGTTGCCTACTACTACGCCTGTCAGTATTACAACACAACCAGAAACGGATACAACACCGGACTCAACAGTAGCGCAACACACGAATCTGGTGTCACTCTTGACGACAACAACACGGCATGGGAGACCACCGGACGATCGTTCGTTAACAAACCCGACGGCGGTAACGGAAAGATCACCAGGAGAAAGAAATGAAAATGGAGGAAAAATGAATCTGAGGAGAAGCCAGAGACTAGCGGAGACACGACTGAGAAAAATGGAGAAGGCGGAACCAGTAGTGGCAGGTGAAAGTCCGGGCGCAGCAGTGAACACGTCAAGGAGAAATAAGCGATGGCATGAGGAGATGGAGATGGAGGATGATGATGGGGATGAACAGGATGGTCAGGAGGAAAGCAAGGGTGAGCAGGAACAGGAAGTGGAGGATGAGAGTGATACGGACGAGGAGGAGTTCGACATCGACAAGAGCAAGTCTGCCATCTACAAGCATTTGGTGTCCAGTCCGGATTGTCGTAAGTTGTTTGACGATTCCTGGTTTAGTGTTATTTGTCGCGCGCGTTTCTTTAAGCAGTTGCAGGTATTGGAAGCTGTATATATTCGCACGCGTGACCCTGTTCTATGCAAGCAAAACGAAAATGTTGTAGCACTCACACTTTTTAAATAATACGCACTCACTGGTTGTTTTAGTGATTCTTACTATGTGACGATGTTCCACTGATGATGGTCACACGAAAACGTTCTGGAATTGTTTCATTTTAATTGTTTATACATGGTTATGAGTGCACAATTGATATTTTTCATTGCTATTTTACTACATTTCCCATCACCTTTATCTAATAATAATAATAGAGGTACTTCGAAACGTGTATGTGGCAACACTGGCCAACACTCAAATGCACTGCTTCTTCACGTAGCTGAACAATTCTTCTTTCTTCTCAACGTTTCGGTCACTCTGACCATCAAGTACAAGTTGCTATATTGAAGCTGCGTGAAGCGTCGTTCCGAATTTAGAGGTGCTTCGAGTAGGATTATACCAATCATTCATGTTTATGTACAGAAGGCAAGGGGATAAAAAGAGTTTAAAGCGCAGATGATGGGGAGATCTACAAGCGATGGTGATTGAATGCAAGACGACATCGATCAAGCGCGCAATACAATACTCGTACAGCTTTCAGTTGGTACATGTAGTTGATTGCATTTACATACTACGAAATCACACTCTTGCACGCTGCATTGTGGGCAAGGCGAGATTGGTAGTCGATCACAGATCAATATTTTTATCCTATGCATCGCGCCTGTTGATGTTATTATTAATTTCGGGTTTGGAGACACGCAAGTTGCCCTGGACAGACATGTGGGTTGTCATTGAAAAGCATCATTGGATTATTGACTACGGTGTGTACTGCAGTAACCCTAACAAAATCCCATCGACGTACCAGAGTACTGACGACAAGTAGCGATAGACAGCGAGGAGGTGCCATCGTTCCACCAACTGCACGCACCAGGTCATGCATCATTTTGGAGGCTCAGCGAATCTAGTCGTAAGCTAGAGTCCTTTGTCCAGATGTTGCAGCCTTAGAGTGTGCGATGTTCCGATGTTGCACAGCCTAGGAGAGGGTGCGATGAGAACTGATCAAAGGTTCGTTGGATGGCTAAGCAGCTCCTGATGTAGAATCGCCTCGTTGCTAATGACACTCTGATTCTACGCTACTGTGCCGCTCGTTGGTCAGCTCTCTCTCTCTATCTACCTCTCTCTGTCTCTCTGTCTCTCTCAGCTACCCGTCTCTCACGACTTGTTCCCTCGCTATCTGTTGGCGTGAGTCGGCTCTTTACACTATCTGCTTATCGCTTTGCAGGTCCGGATTTCTCGCACAAGGGAACATGCAGCACACGTCAATTCATTGATAGAATTATCCCAGTTCAACACCTACAACGCATTGTGTCATTGCACACGCCATGACGTCCTCGCATCTGGGGATCTTTTTTGTTACCAATCTTTCATGGAATCGAAACCATTCTGGCTAGTTTGTTCCCCACTCCCCAGGTTAATTATTATCATCGTCAAATATCTGCACGTCATCGTCATGTTTGATTATGCACTAGAAGGAACAATACATGACGGCTGCAATATGTTTGGGTAAATCTGGCAGAGGTAGCGTCCTGCATGCAGCCTGCAGGCAAGCCTGTGGCTCCAGAGCTCTGTCAGGTGAGGAGTGAAGGGGAAAATCCCGAACAGACCACGTACGACTAGACTGTACATGTCATGTACATGTACATGACTGGCGAAAGTGTTTCGACTCACATCCTTGCTACAGACTACACTACAGTACAGACTAGACGTACAGTGACGTCACTGACCATGTGTCTTCGTCTGTCTGGCTTTCATTATTGGCAATCAAAGTTAGTTGGTCAGTGCGTTAGAAGGTTACTGATATGATACCATGTCTTTTCACTTGGATAGTCAATGCTTTTGAATTTCTTTGCCCTATCCTACCCTACCCTACGCCGCCACCATGGTTTGTTTCCACCAAGTCGAATCCTTTTACATCTAACAACATATCTGATGGCGGATGGTTGGTAATACATCTAGCCGTTTCGGGGATAATTCTCTAGGAAAGTTAAGCTCGCAGACTGGACTTCGTTTCATTCAAAAATGTATATCCGAGTTGTGTGCAAGTCAAGATGTTGGTATGCCATCAGTGTAGTGACTAGTGAGTATATCGGCGACAATGCTCACCCGTTAAATCATCCAACAGTTCACAAACAGTCATGCCAGGACAAAGAAGCTCAGCAGCTAGCAGCGCATCGTGCATTGGGCCTCCGCCCCCACCACCCCACGCACACACTACATTGTCACATAGCACAACTCAACCAGTCGCTACCCTGTTATTGAGCACTCCTGCTCGTTTGGTCTCGCGAATCCAAATAAAATCAATCAATCGTCGCCAGTGGTGAGATAACATATGCAAAGTATCAGGCTGTTGAACTACCAGAAACCGGCCTACAGTGTAGGACGGTTTAGACCGACCAAAACCTATGACGGGATGTAAGAAGCCACCAGTTTCAAGCTGGTATAGCACTGGTGTAAAGTGGGCGATCTGCTCAGACCAATGCTGGAGGATTTTGAAAGATCAAAACGTCAGACATACCCTTTGCTCGACAATGACGCTGCAATGCGTGACCTGAACGAGGAACTTCCGTCTTAGTTTGCGTTTGCCAATGGTGTGACCACACTCGGCTACTTTGGGAGAAGCAGCAGGTGAAGCTATCAACCTGACAACATCTTGCTTAGCCTGTTTCTAGTTTGCCGCCCTCATCAGCCCTGCAAAACGGACAGCATATTGATGCATATGTGCATTTGTCATACAAGATGAGGAGAATATTGAGCAGAATAATGGTCTTTTTTCTGCCAAACTCCAATTTAGTAAAACCTGTCACCACCATGCGCTCTCAGCCGACCCAATGCATTAAGCATAAACACCAGCACAGCAACGACACTTCTGTTCACAGAAGGCCTCGACCAAATATGCTTAAAAAAAGAGCATAATAATTATGCTCGTCGCATATCAGGGAAAACGTCCATAATATGCCAAAGGCTTAGCAAGATATGCAAAAAGATATGCCAAAATATGCTCGACATCAGCAGAAAGTGTAGATCATTAGACACCCTTAGCAAACAACGGTAACGCTATTTTTTACGGTACTCGTACCTTGATCACCCAAATAGCGTTGAAGCTGCAGCGTATAAACGTTATGGGGGCTGATTTATCGTTGTGACCAACGGTACGTGTTTTGACCAAATATTGCATAGTCCGTACGCATTTCACCTTGTATCGCGTATATGGTGACAAAAATGGTTGTACCGCGCGAAATCAAAGCTACTCTCGTGGCAACAGCGTACTAAAAATAGCGTGCATCTTGCTAAAGGTCGAACCCAAATCACGGTATTTTCCCCCTTACGATAATACCGTTACAACATAACGTTTTTTGCTTATTTCAGTAAAATTACAACCTGCCATGGGCTGGTTGGCGATCGCGAGGCGCGGGTGTTCCAGTTCTCGTACACCTTGAAACATCGTACAGCTATGCATACATGTATGCTTGACCCTTGCCTACTACTAGTATAGTACACGTCAGTGCCATTCCAAATTCATCCATAAAAGGCATTTCTGAACGCATATGAATGTTTTGTCCTCATTTTCTCCAGAATATCTGAATTATATGCGGGCCTCACTCCAATATTCCCTTTGTCGCTCAATGAACTGTCTCACAAAATATGCGGAAATATGCGCAAGCATGTTTTGGTCGAGGCCTGGATCTAGTTCACAGATACAGTGCTGGCAACTGAAATCCGACCCCTGAGTGGTGGGTTCACATTCTTTGCGATGTGAGGGCACCGCTCAGGGGGTCGGATTTCAGTTGTCAGCACTGTACTTTAGAAGTAATTGTGTTCGAGTGGAATACAATTGAAATGTTTTTTTGCAGGACAGATTTTTGGTGTACTGATTTCGGTTGTTGTTGTGTCTGACTCTATTCCCAATATCTAATTCTGTGTTTGGTTTTCCAACTCATTGGGTTGTAGTTTCCATCATGAGTTTGATTCCATCGTGAGTTTGATTCCATCGTGAGTTTTGATTCTATTTGCTATTTTTCGTTCCATTTTTGAGCTCACATCTATCTGCTTTTTTGGTGTTATTGGCCCGGACAAGAGGCTTCTTTCCATTGAAATGCAGAATGGCTCTGAGCAATAAGCAGAATCGTAACGTTTTCCAAGCAGAAGCTGCCCAGCCCTAATACGATAGGCATCCATTTGGCTACACAGATTTTTATTATATGGACGTGTAAATGTTCTCAAAAGTACTTCTTCGAATCAATCTTATCTCGGAGAAACCCAAATGTGCAAGCCATATATACGAGTTGCAAATATAGATGTACAAAATGCAAAATAAATTCGTATTTTATTCCCTCAAAAATGTAATGCACAGATGCGTGGCCACCACCCCAAAGGCATATATGAAATATGATGAGGACCACTTGCAAGCACTTCAATTCATATCGATCTAGATGCACGCAGGGACATATGTACGTAGACATTGCGATGAAGAAGCCAATTCCATGGGTGACGTAGACGATCATAGTTTGATCCAGCTGCGTCCGGTGTCGTGCTTGATCTTCGTGCGATGCAGCAGCACAGCCATGTTGATCCACCTGCAGGACACGGCAGAGGAGAACGGTGGGCATTCCCAGCATATACAGCCGTGTCCAAGCCGGTATACACATGCACATGTATATTGTGCAATGGTTTCCCACCATCACGAAATGGAGGGCACACGAGCATTGGGCCAGTGGGGACATGATAAAACCGACAGATATGTGAAGGCGGAAACTCTGATGAGGCGACAAACTTTCCAAGAATGACACTGGGTGAGAAGACCACCTGTATGCAGCGACCGCATTAATGTTTGTAAAGTCCATTGAGCGGCCGGCTTCGACATGACTGTTTCAAGTTGATATGAAAATAACTTTGTTCAAATTCAGTCACTTTCCTACAGCATATCTACTCATTTCGGTTCTTGTTTCTACAAGTAGTTAGTTTACTTGTTTCACGCTGATGATGGGCCATGGCCGAAAATTTTTGTGAACACATTTAGAGTGACGTGCTGCAAAGAGACTTTATTTTTGAGTGTTTGAGTCGAGGACCCTGATGTGTGAATGGCTGCTGCAATGGAGTCTGGGAGTGCTTAGAACAGTTGAAAAACTTGAGCCGGAAATAGGTCAGGTAAAAAAAAGTAAATTATCGTGTCCGTTCCCGAAGGGAACTCACGACGGCCGCTAACACCCGGTTAACCCTATGGGTCAGGTGAGCTTTCTGAAATGAATTTTGTTGATGGTGGACTAAGAAGACGTTAGAACGCCTTCCTAGTCCACCATCAACAGTAGGAAAGCCTATGCATTCACTATCGCCCCCAACTGTTGCAAGAACATCGACTAGTGTGTAACGTCACCCAGTGATCCACATGGAACTCATCTTGGCATCCTGGCAATTGCTGTCCGGAATGTACCATGTACAAGTATATACCAATAGTATTGGGTACTGGTATTGGTAGATAGTACAATACAAAAGCAATCGTACAACCAACAATGCGTTACCATAACAAACGTCTTGCTGCATCCAAACATGCATACATTATACATATACATATACATGTACATGTACATGTATATGATTGTATGACTGATCAAGCCATCTGTTGTTCTGACTAGTGTGTATATGTGTATATGTATATACACTGGAGGCGCTGTACATTCGCAGTTTGAGGCCAGAACTGTGTCGACAAAAGAAGCACATCAAGGTGCTACGGCTGTTCAAGCTGCAACCGGACTGACAACTTTATCACGTGTTTGTTCTGGTACTGCATTCCCCTCATGTGTTGTTTCCCGCATTTTTCCACTGCTCCATACATTCTTATGGTAGTGTAGTGTGAACTTGAGGCACGTAAGAATATTCTTGCTGATTCTCTACCCCCAGTATAAATTCTGGCTTCGTTTTCGTTCTTGCTCATTCCCATGTAACTACTGATGAAAATGGGTGAAAAGCTTTTAGTATTATGAAACTGACAACCTTGTTGTTGTGTGTATATAAATTTTGTTCGCCTACCTCTCTATTTATGTATATGTATATGTCCACAAAGGACGAAACAGTTCTGTCCGCAGATTGAGTATATGTATATGTATATGTACAAAAATGTATATTTACATGTATATGTATATTATGCTGTCCGCAGATTGAGTATTTCGCTCCTGCTCTTGTAGCAGTTGAGCACTCTTGCGTGGGGTAGTGCCTTTGCTGTTTGCGTTATGCAGAGCTCACTGACTTGTCAGTTTGAGCACTCTGGCAAGGTACGTTCGGGCCTGATTGGAAATTTTTATTTCCATTGCTATCAGGTTCGGCCTCATTTCCTCTGTGCTGCGCTGATGAGTTCAAAAAGAACGAAACAGCATGCTGTCCGCAGATTGTGTATATAATGTATATGTATACTCAATTTGCTGTATATGTATATGTATATAATAACTACTACATACATGTATACATATACATGTATTATAATTATACATGCATGTGAATCGTACAACCCCAGTTCAGAGACGACCTCAACTAATACTTCAACAGTAGGGGGTGTTATGTGATTTGGGCGCTCTCCCAGTGACTGGGGCCTACGCCCTTGCCAGCATCTGTAGCCCTCATATCCTCTACGAGACACCCGGTGCTATTATCAAAGAGCAGAGTACTACTACTTACCGTCGCCATAATCACCAGTAGGAAGACCAATCGACATCTTGGGAACAGCGACGTCAACTCATTCATACGACCCATGACGCAGGACTTATTAAAAAAATCCGGCATACGAGCTGCTCCTACTACTACTCTCTCTCTCTCTCGTTTTTCACGCAGGTCTGTGTCGCAACCACCAGTGATGATCGATAATCAGTCACTGTGATTACCAAAATCTTCGAAGAACCGTGTGTCCTTGCTGGGTTAGTTGCTATCCAATGCTGGCTGTCGTCTGGCTGCGTTGCTCCTGTGCAATGTCAAGGGACGTTGTCTATCTTCTTCTATCTCTCCTCGTCACGCTTCTCCTTAGCCTCATTAGACTTTGTTCTCAGATCCTGTTTGGTTACCCACACTGATCAAAGAGGCTCTCAACTTGTTTTGATACAAGCAGATTCCCAAATGGAGTCTAAAGTTAAATTCTTCGTTTCCACAGTCGTCCAGTCTCGCGGACTAGCAGTAACTGTTTCACATTCCTTGGAGAACCGCCCCAGACTTCACAAGCACCATCTGGGTGTATTTGACAAGACCGTGACAAGGCTGACATCATTCGCCACGTTGCAGAATGCATGCTTCGAAACTCTTTCCGTTCCAAGCGAAAACCTGTTACAGCTGATGGATACTGTGCCCCTAAATACTGGCTCATGTACATGTATTACAATGACATCATCTCACCGGGTAAACGATCAAGCAAGACCCTGCTTATGCCATAATGATACTGGTACATATTCATGTACATGTACGTATAATAATTATGCATTCGTCTTTCTCGTGTCATTTTCGTCCAACCCGTACCGTGTGATCAGGGTTGCACGTGCTAACGGCTACTGCATTGACATCCCTTTGTCGTACTGCTAATACCGGTAATACTGTCAGAAGGTTGTCCACCCGGTACCCAGAAACCTGACAGTCCTGAGTGTCGTTGTGCGGTAAGGCGCGCCATGGGCATGAAATCCCCTCCCCTCAAGGGGAAATCCCGACTGCAATAGAGCCATACTCACCTGTGTTTATGGCAAGTACATGTAATGGATTTTGGCTCTCCTTTTCCTATAGAAATCGACGTGCAGAGACACTTGCCGCTTCTAACAAGGCTCTTTGTAAGTAAATAATGCTCTTTCTTTTCTTTCCTTTTTTCTCTTTTTATTTCCCTTTAATTTGCGTCTTTTCTCTCTGTCCGTGGTTGGTTTCACACTCACACCTTGAATTGGCTATTCGCATTATATCAACATGTGCCATGAAGTGCAGACAGTAAAATTCAATAAATAAAATCAAAATAAAGTCTAGGGTATACCGGTAATGTGACAAGACCTGCTAGTCGGTGTGTCCTCGATGAAACCTTGTTTTATCACGTGACATGCTATCCAACCACAATACTCTACTGTGCTACGTACTAGTCTTAAATCTCACATTATCTATAGAAATTAGAAAGGACCAAGGAACTACAAATTACCCTATGAATCACAATGCAACAATTGAGATACGACTGACCCTGGGGTCACTCTACTATATAGTACAATGCCCGGGGGTCCATCTGCTGGGGGTCATTCTACTATAGTACACCGGCTGTGAGGTTTTGGAGATGCTGGTGGGACAGTGCCCTTGTATTTTCCTGGGTTTTTTCTTTTCTTTTTTTCTCTCGTTTTTTCATTGATTTTGATGTTAAAAGGGGATTAGGGACTCTTGGCTCTTTCCCCTACCAAATGGTACCGTTTACACATACAAATTGTTTTCATTTTTTGGTGTTGTGTTCTAATCATTCACCATGCCACTGTCAAATGTATTCTGTTTGCCCGTAAAAGATGCCTTATTTTTTTCTAATTACGCCATGGAAGCAATGATACATAAAAACTACCTCAAGATCAGTACGATTATGCACAGTGGCGTTCCCTACAACCCAGAAGGCGAAATGAACCCATGCTGTACGTTGCTTGTCCTCAACCGACCGCGAGCTGCGTGGACCTGCTGAACTGGCTATAGTAAAAAACAATGATAGATGTGGGCGGCATAGGTGATGACTTTTAGCAAATAGTTCATGTCCTGCTCATCCTTAGACCGTTGGTGGAAAGGGGCAGCGGCACATAGATCAACCTGGGTAACACATGTATGTGGGGAAACAGGCAGAGCAGAATAGAAAGCGGACATGCGCTACGCCAGTTAAGCCCAAATATGCCATCAGAGAATGAATTCATAGGAAAATGGGCAAAGTTTGGTACTTGTTCCGGTATGTTTCATGCATGTTTGGTATGTTTCGTGCATGTAAGATGTTTGGTATGTGGAAAAAATGGGGAAGAATATAGGGCGCGCTCACAATGCGACCCTGAGCACACGTCCTTGCATCAGCATATCGCAGAAACGTGGCAGTCGTGCTCACACTAGGCCTCGTACACGCCTAGACGTGAAGTTGTTGACACCATTATCGCCGTGCTGATCGCTATAATATAGGCACAGTATGGAACTCTTTTGAGGTCAGTTGCACATTACAGTCATTTACAGTCTTGAAGAATGATTGTGTGAGCCGCTGGGACTGGATGTGGATCGAGTCAGCGCATCGGTTGGTCGAAGGTCGGATTTAGCGAAGGGATTCGGAACAGGTACTTCTTCACACCAATTTTATGGTCGAGAACCGAAACTGTGCATAAAAAATATACGAAATGCAAAACTACATGTAAAAAATGTGAAATCAATTCGTATTCTATCTCCTCAAAAATGTAATGCACATATGCGTGGCCACCACCCCAGAGACATATATGAACTATGATTAAGCACACCGTCAAGCTCTCCAATTGAGCTCGCTTAAGAGACACGCAGGGACATATGCACGTAAACAGTGCGATGAAGAAGCCAATTCCATGGGTGACGTAGACGATCATAGTTTGATCCAGCTGCGTCCAGTGTTGTGCTTGATCTTCGTGCGATGCAGCAGCACAGCCATGTTGGGCCACCTGCAGGACACGCCAGAGGAGAATGGTGAGCATTCCCAGCAAACACAGCCGTGTCCAAGTCGATATACACACGTACATGTATATTGTGCAATGGTTTCCCACCATCACGAAATGTAGGGCAAGCGAGTACTAGGCCAGTGAGGACGTGATCAAACAGAGAAACATGTGAAGGCGGAAACTCTGATGCGGCGACAAACTTTCCAAGAATGCCACTGGATGAGAAGTCCACCTGTATGCAGCGACCGTATTAATTTTTGTAAAGTCCATTGAGCGGCCGCCTTGGGCATGTTTCAAGTTGATATGAGAATAACTTTGTTCAAATTCAGTCACTTTCCTACAGCACCTCACAGCATATCTACTCATTTCGGTTCTTGTTTCTACAAGTAGTCAGTTTACTGTTTTAACCCTAATGATAAGCCATTGCCGAAAATTTGGTGAACAGATTTCGAGCGACGTGCGGCAAAGAGAATCTATCTTTGAGAGTTTGAGTCGAGGACCCTGATGTGTGAATGGCTGCTGCAATACGGAGGATTAGCAAGACGAAATTCGCGTTCGCGTTCGCAAACATTTTCAGTTCGCGAACTGGATTGCGAACGTTCGCATTTTTCGTTCGGAAAAGTAGTCGGAACACGAATCGCGGATTCGTGTCAGGGCAGTCCTAAATTTACCACGCTGTACTGTCTGTACACAATGTACGTCGTGTCAACGTCATGCATGTGCGAATTTGTTTGCTAATCCTTCTCATAACGCGAATTCCGTCACTGAGTTCGACTTTCCTTGGAGAGCGAACGCGAATTTCGTCTTGCTAATCCTCCGTAATGGAGTCTGGGAGTGCTTAGAACAGTTGAAACACTTGATATGAGCCGAAAAAGGGTCAGGTGAGCTTTCGGAAATGAATTTTGTTGAAGGTAGACTAAGAAGGCGTTGAAACACCTTAGTCTACCAGCAACAGTATGAAAGCCTACATGAAGGCATTCATTATGGCACCAAACTGTTGCAAGAACATCGACTAGTGTGCGACGTCACCCAGTAAATCTATAGGGAATTCATCCGAAAACTGACATCCTGGCATTTGGCGTCCAGAACGTGTGTGTAGGGTGTATGTACAGGCGAAGCGCCAGCACCGAAAAAGAGCCCTAAAAGTTGCACTTTTATTTTCCAAATCCGACCCCAGGCCCGGGAAATTTGAAACTCAGCTCAATATCGCCAAAAAGAGGCTATTAATATCCCTTGCTCACAAGAGCTTCCCTGGTGGTATCGTCTTGTTCCGAGGCAATGTTTGGGAAGGTGCGGGCATTAGCTGCCCTAAGTTTCGCGGAAAGCTCCAAGCGACATCATTTTCCTCGCTTTCTCGCCAGAGTTTTCAAGACCGACGCAACTCGTCGTCAAAAAGTACTCAGCGTGGATTTCGTGCCGAATTCCGCCCCAAACAATTTAGGCTGACCTCTCGCCACCAATCGAACCCACTGATATGTATCTACCTATACACGAGCAATGGTTTGAGCCCAAAGAAGGACAACTTCACAACGAGCACACTTTCTGAGGGTAATATTTTCTATGTATATCAGTATTAGAACACCATCAAGGCGACAAATTGACCAGCAGAAAGACATAAAGTTGCACTACAAATACAGCAGCTGTATAAACATAAATAATTGAACAGAAAACTATGTAACTGGATCCCACCAAAAACAGTAAAGCATCCCAAATAGTATGCGCATACACATATACATGAAGGAAGGCTATGTTGCCACCATACACTGGCTACGCACACGGACATCATTCTGGAGAGCTGAGCATCAGCGTGCGCACACCCCCACACACACATCTGCATGCACGCGCGCACACCCACACATGTGAATGCACACGTGCGCGCGCGTGCGCGCACACACACCCACACACCCACATATACACATGCACGCGCGCACACTCCTGCCCTGTGCTGTCGAGCCACTGCCACAAGGGTTGCGTGGGCCTCGAAGGCACCGGAGAGAGAATAGGAGAACGCAGTCCCATAGATACACACACACGCACACACACACATGTACACAACACGTGCAAGTACATACGTGGCAGCTTACTACAAGAGAACCACACAAGTTCACATGTGGGCATGAACTGTATTTACAGTTGGTCATACTGTCTTGGGCATATGAGGGAGGAGCAGGAGAGTGAGTGCGTGACTCAGACACAATGCGCTTCGACATGCTAGCACATGCACCGGTTTCGGACAGTGGCAGAACGTGACGGAGAGAGAGAGAAGAGAGAGAGAGAGAGAGAGAGAGAGAGAGAGAGAGAGAGAGAGAGAGAGAGAGAGAGAGAGAGAGAGAGAGCACCAGCGTTCCAGCTCAAGCTCCACATTTCTAGTTGCTTCTCCTGGTCACAGTAAACACAGAACAGGGCTCAGGCAGTGCCGAGGAAGTGCTTGTACTTGGTGCAGTGTCGTGAGCAGGATAAACTTCCAACATCTCTACACAGTGTAGCTCTTCAGGCGCACACGAGGACTCAGAAACCGGAATATACT